TGTTGCGCAAAGGGGCGCAGCAGCCTGTTACCTTCGGAAGGGAGATCCATTATTGACAGCATGTTAGAGATCTGTGTGGCAGACGACACGGAGGAGCACCGGGGCGAGACCAAAACAGGGAGTTTCCATCGGCAGTAAGCATTTCTCTTCTGTTACCGATTTCTCCGCATTAGCCGCAGCGCACGGCCGTCGTGCGCGTTTTGGCCAGCAGTGTTTTGATTTGGATTTATTTCAATATTGCCATTTGCTTTATTGGCCCTATAGCGATTACAGCTGTGTGTTTGCTGCGTCTTCGCCACTGCTGTCACCTCACAAGCTGCACAATAACTGGATTCCCTTATTTTATACGACTATTGCATAACAAACATAAGTAAAAACAAGGCGATGTATTGATCTATAGGAGGCCTGGTTGTGAACAGCTTATTCAGTGTCAGTGCATCAATAAAATAACTTCATCAGAGTCTGATTTAAAGGAAACCCGGTTCAACCAGGTTCAATAACACATAGGCTAGTGGTTAAAAGCGTGTAACAACATGTATTGATTTGCTATCCAGATATAATAGGTCTCTAGATAGATAGATAGATAGATAGATAGATAGATAGATAGATAGAGCCAGGACAGATCTGGTTAATCACTACCTTATATGTATCAGACAGAACAAAGCTTTATCAGGCCAAAGCTAATAGATCAGAGTCAATAAATGGACTAAAAAAATACACAAAATGAAGCATTCTCATGACTTATATAGTTGCCCCTCTTTCTCTTTCCTCATAGGTGACTGGCTGATTTGGATGATCGACCTGCTCCTGTGTAAGAGGGTCTGCTTGACTGATTGATAGATCAGAGGATGCTGCCTTCAGATGCTCATGGAGAAATTTAAAGGAGACTGAGTCAACACAGAGGGCACCGCTCAACCTACTCTTTGAAGAATAGAAGTAATTGGATCCTGATCTTATGTAGGAGACACTGGGTTACTCCCACAGCTGCTTGCTGTACTGTAAGTAATTGTGTGTTGGTGTCATAGGAGGAATCGCCTGTTCGAATGTAGGGAATTGAAGAGTGTTTATTTTTGGGCCTGCAACTAAAGATTATCTTCATCATCGATTTAGCAGACAATTATTTTCTTAATTAATTGATTATCTTCTATAAAATGCCCAGAAATTTAAAAAAATTCAAATATTCAGTTTAGTGTCACATAAGGCAAAGGAAAGCGGCACACAACTAGGAAACATGTGGCCATTTTTGCTTGAAAAATGACTCAACCTGAGTGATATGGTCCCTCTTTTACAGCTCTAAAAACATATATTTAACATTGTTTTATCAGCTTGATACTTCATGACTTTGTGTTATTTTAATGAGAATTGCCAGTATACAAGATTTCCTTTTCAGATGCATTAGTTCTGTTTGTGCTCTCAGAGATCACAGCTGTAAGGATTTTCCTTATGTTCCGATTGGTGTTGATGGTACTTTTTACACAGTGCTACACCTTTGTTCTTAAGTCTAACTGGGGTCCAATTGATTTAATTATATCATTTAGCAGTCGATTTTACGCAAAGATGAATATAAATAAGGAAAAACAGAACGGGGTCTTCGCAACTTCAGTTCCCTCAGTCAATCTCACAGCTTCCTACGATTAAATTTAAATCCAGCGTTAAATCTGTCTCTGGTTTTCTTTTTCCTTTCTGAAGAAAACGTCCTGCTGGGAAGTGAAGGTGCCCTGAGGCAGAGCTATGGGCTGTGGGGGGAGCAGGACTGATGCTCTGGAGCCTCGATACTTGGAGAGCTGGACCAAGGAGACGGAATCGACGTGGCTGACCAGCACAGACACCGATATCCCCCTGTCGTCCATCCAGAGCATCCCCTCGGAGAACTCTGAGGCCGGCTTTACCTCTGAGAAAACAATCACCCCCGGTAAGAACAATGAGTCACTGTTGATTGTATGGATGAATGAATACCTAATTGATCTACTAACAGGAACAGTCAGTAATTAAACTGATGAACAAATTAACTACTACATTTATGTCTGTATAAATTAGTGCTTAATAAGAATACAATATATTTGCGATTCCAATCTTGTGTATTTCTATTTATAGGTTTTGCACCAAATGTACATTAATCATTTTAATCATTAATAATTGCTACATTATGAGTATAATATTACTTCAAAATGAGTTTTTTGTTCAGTGGGACTGTTTTAAACCAGTCTATTGCTTTACACCAGGGTAAGAGAGTTCAAGCTTTGAGTCTTATGCTGCAAGTAATTTGACTGGATTCGCAATGAGTGGAATTTCTTTACACTCCTAACATCAAAGTGAAGTGTGACACCTATACAGTGTGTGTTGGTCTATCTGCTTTTCCCTGTAGGAAAAAAAAAATCCTATAAGTGTAAAGCAGTTTTGAGGTTTTGCATGTCTGATTCAAAGAAGAATCCATTATGCACAAGGAATATTGAAATGAAGAGTGAAAACAGAGTGGGTGCCCTCTATGCTGTAGCTGCAGGATTATATAGGACATATGCTTTAGAAGCCTTTGTTCTTCTAGTGTATCGTTAGTCACTTCATACAGCTCCGAAAACAGATGGCTCTGACTATAAATTGTGTTGTTCTTTGTCAATTTGTCTTTTGCACCGAATTGTGGCGTGTGTTTTCTTTGAAGCCAGCAGGAGATGAATCAGTAAATGGGCATAATAGGCTGCATCAAAAGCCACTGTGCTCGAACAGGACTTGGGTCTCATGGCAACAGATACAGCTGTTGGCAAATGCAGGCTGAGGAGCCTTTAGGCAATTGTGAAGACAAATTCACTGTCGTTCACTCTGTACAGATAAAACAGATCCAGAATCAGCCAAATTAATCAGCAGCTGGCAACCTCAAAGATCTCATCAAATATTCCACAATAATACACCTCTGTAGGATATGGTATTTTTTTAACATTAATATGCAGAATCTCATTCAAAAGTCTTTATTTTTGTGTGTTGGTTCTCTGCAGATAACCACACGTTGCCCTAAATATTTAAGTTCACACATCATCAGTGCACTTAACCCACATTTGACGTGCACACCGCTTCAGAGTGATTTCCATTATTCATCACACTTCACCGCTCCACACTGCAGTCACAGTTCAGTGGTGGCAGCAAGGTACCTGTTAGCTCTGACCTGTGAGTAATGCTGTTGGATTTACAAATTACCGCCTTCCACACTACACACGTCATACACAGTGTGATAATAGTGATACTGGCAGGGCTCAAACGCACCTTTTTTTTGTTTTTGTGGTTATTTTGAAGAACAAAATACTCGCTCAGTGCACATGTAAACAGGTCACTGTTTCCTAAAGCAGAAAGAGAGTACAAATGTATAATTAACAATTATCTTGTCCCAGAAAGCCTTTATATTTTCAGGGCAGCCCTTGATTTAAGACTAATTCCGTTTTTAAATTATATGGATAATCTGTGAAACTGTTCATCTAATGTTGTCAACATAATTAATAAGATAAGACTTTACTGATCCCACACTGGGGAAATTCACTCACTACAGCAGCTCCAGATACAACACAAAAGATAAGAAAATACAGTCAATTAAAAAATAAAATAAAATAGATAAATACAAGATATAATGAAAATAAAAAAATAGTTGGATGTACACTGTGTACAGCTTTTTTATATACAGATGTGATTTTATATATAGATATGATTGATATAGAACATTATGTATATAAATGTATATGTATTAGTATTAAATTGTGCAAAAAGTGACTGTGAGTGTTGAATGTTGTGGGTAAATATCATAAGCATTTATGTCTCTTCATCCTCACAACACAGCCTAATACAAACTGGAAGTACATGTTGAGGATTCACCCCCGCATCAAAGCAAGCCTTCAGATTCAGCACTTCAGCTGCTCCATGTGACAAAGCTGAGGTTTTTGTTTGATTTCAGTTCCAGATTTCTTCGAGGATGGTCTCCCTCTTCCTGCTCAGGCTTACCTGACAGTCTGTTCAGCTGTGTCTGAAGCCAGTCTGAACGACGTGAAGCCCAGCAGCCCTCCAGCCATACTGGGCTCTCCCCCCAAGGAGGCGGTGTTACCATCATCTGGCACCACAGTGCAGCGCAGAAGTGTTCTACACACCGAAGAGATTGTAAGACTCTTTTTTTTGAATGCTTCAAGTCAATTTAAAATATCAAAGCACCTTTTATTTTATTCTATATTCATTTATTGAAAGGAAAAAAATAAGTTGTGGGAGACTTACTTGGAGAATCCATTGTTTTCATTTTATCTCTTGCTCAGAGGTTAAATTTTAAAGCAAAAATGCCAAACATTTGCTGGCTCTAGCTTGTCGATGCTTTTCCTTTTT